TAAAGCCCATGCATCTCTGTCCTCTCACTGTCTTCCTCGGGCTATTGTCACTAGGAGTTCCAGTTAGCCTCTAGGGCTCATGACAGGAAAATAAACTAGCATCCTGTCCTTTGAGGAGAGAGCAGTTTCCTGGTCACTTGCCCCTGTATGTTCTGGCAAAATTTCCTCCCAGGCTGAAGCATCCCCTTTGTGGAGGAAAGCAAAAGAGGCAAGGGGCCCAAATCTATCCTGTGTGGCTTCAGTTAGATCCACTTTTGCTTTTGCAGTCCATAAGTTTCTTGGAGACTTCCCAGAATGGCAATTCTTGCTCAGTGTGCAGGCGGCAGCCCCACTGGCAGGACTGCAGGCTGGTACACTGTTTTATGAAATCCTATGCCTATGTTTTGTTTGATCTACAATCTCTTATTTCAGATTGATTTTGGCATCAGGATGTATGTTCCTTCCTTTCTTCCAATTATCTGTGTTTTCAGTTGATTTTCTCTCAGTAACTCAAACATGGCTTCTCTTCTGTCCAGCCATGTTGAATCATCGATATCCAGTTCTAGTATTGCCAGCTTTGCTATAGGGTCAAATTGGAGCTATTACCAAGTTTCAAACCATGCCCAGTCCCAGCACCAGGTCTAACACTAGCTATGAAGCTAGAGCAAGTTCCAGCTCCAATGCCAGACTAGTGCCACCTCCAGAACTACACTAATAAATTGTGAAAGGAAAAAAAGAAAATAGGGGAAGTGGATCCAGTGGCAGAGAAACAGATGAGGGAGTATAAGGGTAAGGGAATAAAAAGAATCAAGATTTGTAAAGTACATGTACCTACTCCCTAAGATGAATAACATTATATACTGTAAGCATGCACCATAAACATTATTTTAAAAAAGAAAAATCAACTTCCTCCAAAAGATTAGTGTCTGCTTCTGGGTGATACTGTTTCAGAATGGAACTAGGCAGGTCTCTGGAGTGATGTTAATGCTTTTGCATTGACATGTATCAGCGAAAATTGACTTGCTGGTTCAATAGCTTGGGCATATTGCTCCATTTAATTATATAGCATAATTCTAAAAATGAAAATAATACAGACTTTAATTCTCTTTCATCTTCATTAGGTGAAAAACAATTGAGAGTAATTATGATAATAGAATAACAAGATTTACATTCATAGAAAGTGACTAGGAAAGGCATTATGGAGGCTTCTTTATCTCACTGATTGTTACATAGGTCTGTATCTTTTGTTGCCATTCATGTTACACATTTCATGTATACTAATTTCTGTCTATGTATGCTAAAGTTCCATTAACAGATATATTTTTAAAAGCATTATTTGAATCTAGCCTTTACCGCATACTACCTCCTGTATCCTTTCAGGAGTAAAACACTAAACTGAATTTTGCCTATGACTTCATTGATTTTTGTACTGTAGTTTGTGTG